ATATATATATATATGCATATATATAGTATGTACAATTATGTATGTACAATTTTCAGTGAGATTAATATGCTTTAAATTAATTTTTATATACTTTTATTGTCATTAAACTCACTGTATAATACAAAAATTCCTTTATATATATTATTAGATATACAGATAATAAGGTATATCCCTATATACATGTATATATAAACCTATATATAAACAAATAACAATAAGCATTGCTTTTATCATTTACCTGTTGACAATGTTTATATATATATATATATGTATATATATATATATATATATGTATATATATATGTATATACATACATATGTATACAAAAACAGAAGCTTTTTTGGCACTGCGGCAGTGCCGATAGAAAACAGGAGCTTATAGCACTGCGTAATGTGCCGATAGAAGACAGCACCTATTTCGCACTACTGCGGCGTAGCGGCAGTGCCGATAGAAAACAGAGGCTTTTTTGGCACTGTGGCAGTGCTGATAGAAAACAAGAGCTTATTTGGCACTGCGGCAGTGCCGATAGAAGATAGCACCTATTTCACACTGCGGCAGTGCCGATAGAAAACAGCATTTTTTTTCCGCACTGCGGCAGTGCCGATAGCATCAGCCGTTTTCAACATGTTGAAAAAAATATAGTGGTCGGTATTGGTCGCCGGGTCCTACTTCCGGTCAGATACAACCGTAGGTCGTATGGCAACTTTGAAAGAATATTTGTAAAAGATACGTTACCGCAAATCTTTTCGTTCATATTATTGGAAAATGTGTCAGCGCTCGCACAAATTTTTCACAACAAAACTTTTTAGTTTTTTTAGCACAAATATATTCGCCTAGTGGAAAACTCTGCCTTTAGAGATTGTACATGATCATTGTTGCCGTAGTAAATGACGTTGTCATCCTCATCATTAGCATCTTTTGCCACCTTTGAATAAGTGGAAAAATCGATGGCTTGGAAAAATAGGAAATATAAAACGTGTTTTTTGGGCAAAAAACGATTTTTTTTTTGTAATAATGTTTTCCTGGTCTTTTTATCTAGCTGCTGGACTATCACAATTGAAAACATAACGACAAAATGTTTAGTATAGGTGTGTTCTGTCAGCTTTCGACACTACAGACCACAACATATGTCTGGATAAATTAGAACAGTATGGTATCAGAGGTATAGAACTAAAATGGTTTCGTAGCTACCTAAGTAAAAGAGAACAATATGTAAATATTGAGAACTGTAACTCTAAAAAGTAAAATAAGATGTGGAGTACCACAAGGGTCAAGGCGCTTTGTTGTATATAATATTTATACGATAATACGATAATACTTTATTGCAATTTGATCTTATACAGTACAAATTGAAGTTAAGCATTAGAAATTACCAAATAAGAATCTACATAAAATAAAATCTCGTATGCAATTAAAACATGAGGGACAAAGGGGGAAAGTGGAGGACAACCAAACCGGTACATGAACATTAATAGGAATAAAACACACTAAAAGAAATTGGGGTTAAAACAACCGGTTAAACAGGCAAACACCTAAGTAAATCACAATAAAAATCTATTATAATTATTAACATTAAATTCATTAATTTCTTTTCATTACAATAATTATATTACAATAATTATCATTAAAATCTTATTCTAATTATTATTAACATTGGATTCATTATATTCTTTTCATTACTCTATTTAAATATCATAACACTAAAAATCATTTACAACAATAACTATTATTAAAATAAATAAATATTATTATTATTAACATTCAATTCATTATATTCTTTTCAATATTCAATTTAAATATAAAAACACTAAGAATGATTCATAACAAAGGAAATGGGCAGTAAGAGTTTAAAATAAGAAAAGCAATTGGGACACAAAAACCGCAAATAAAAAAGAGAAAAAAGAAAACAGCGGGTCAAACTACTACTCGGCTGGCCAAGTATTGCACAAATTTGTTCAAAGTGGTCATAATATTATTATTATTATTATTATTATTATTATTATTATTATTATTTATTATTTATTAATTATTATTTATTATTTATTATTTATTATTTATTATTTATTATTTATTATTTATTATTTATTATTATTATTTATTATTATTATTTATTATTATTATTTATTATTATTATTTATTATTATTATTTATTATTTATTTATTTATTATTTATTTATTATTATTATTTATTATTATTTATTTATTATTATTTATTATTTATTATTTATTATTATTTATTATTATTTATTATTATTTATTATTTATTATTATTTATTATTTAT